TGAATATTCAAAATAAAAAAAAGTATAACAATGAAAAAATTTTCAAAATATAAAATGAGAGCAAGAAAGTGAAGTTAAATTATCTTTGTAAATTAAAACACACCAACCCACATTTTATAAAATTATTTTGTTTGTAATTGGTAAGTTATTTTTCATTTAACTTTCTCTTTTTATGAAAATTATAAATAAAGAAAGCCATTGACACTAGTCCTCATCCCGAATTACATGAACTTTGATCCCCATCACAAGATACATAGGCTTCAAAGTCTAATTCTGAGTCAAGTCCCCCTTATAAATAAATAAATATTTCTCATTTAATTATCCTTATTTTTTTATGTCAAACATGGAAAGAATAATTAAAATAACTTTGAAACCATATTAATTTAGCACAACAAACTTTAGATAACTGTTCTCACGAACGGGTGTTGTGGGGCGCCTAACACATTTCCCACACTCAATCAACTCTCAAACCTATTTTTTGATTTCGCAGACCATCCTTATTCTTCTTTAAATGGTTTCTCAATATTTTTTTCAAAATTTTGATAGCGACTCCTTTAAATCAGTCTTCTTTTTGAAAGACTCCTTTAAATCAGTCTTCTTTTTGAAAGTCAAATTTTTGCTCTTGCACGCCGTCCGCGTCGCATTTTGGGGGGCAACATTTGCCCATGCTTAAAAATCATTGACCGTGGTTAATAAGGAAGAAAAGGAAACAACCAAAGGTAATAAAGCTACAATCAAGGATGGAGTTGCTAACAAAGCAGATCAAGAGCCTACAAAAGAGGGTAAAAAGCGAAGGAAAGTATGACCTCTTCCGATTCAAACTAGAGTAATTAAAGAAAGGGATCCAATCCCATGTGATGTTCATTGCCTAGTAGATTTAATATTTCTAAAGTTTTGGCTTAAGGTGATGACGATCAAAGAGACTTCCAATTTGTTTAGTAAGTTGGAGGTAAATATTCCTTTGCTTGATGTCATAAAGGGATTTTCAAAATGTGCCAAATTCCTTAAGAAATTATGCACCAATAAAAAAATATTCAATCCCCCTTCTAAAATTGAAATTGAAAGCAATGTATCAGCTATCTTGAAACCTTAATTACCCATAAAATGTAAAGACCTTGAGTCATTTATAATTCCTTGCACTATTGGCACCACACACACAGCCCGTGCATTGCTAGATTTGGGTGTTGCGATTAATGCTAATGCTTGAATGTAGTTCCTTGAGTCATTTATGCCTAATGCTATTTTTTTATTCCTTGAATGTAGGTAAGCTTCAAGAGACAAATGTGGTGCTACAATCTATAGATAGGAGCTTGAAGTGGCCTAAGGGAATGATAGAAGACACTCTAGTAAAGGTTAAAGGTTTGGTCTTTCCTACTGACTTTTATGTCATTGATATGACCCATGATAGGAGTTTACAAATATAGCCATTGATACCAGGTAGATCATTTTTTAGGGCTACAAATACTATTATTAACATTAAGAAAGGAAAATTTTCTAGAGTTTGGTGAACATGTGATTCCATTTAATGTGTATGAGGCCATGAGACATCATTTTGAAGATCATGCTTTGCTAGGAGTTAATTTTGTTAATTCCATGATTGATAATGCTATAATTGAGCGTCAAGAGTCTTTATCATCTAATTCTATTTCCTAGCTAAGTTAGTGACTCATTAGATTGTTTTAACTGTGACGAGGATTCTAATGCTTGTATTGATATTTCATCTATGGTCTTCACCCTTCCTTTCTTACAAGATTATTGTTCGATTTTTAAGCATGTTAATACAAGTTCTACGGTTGTGTTACTTGAAGATAATGGTGCATTTGCATCACATGATGATGTAGTTCTTTTCATTCAAGTGAATTGTCTACTTTTTCATCTTCATATTCCCTAGATTCTGTTAGCGTCATGCTAGAAATTCATTTGAAAATTTTATTTTGCCTTCATTTTATGCACTCAAGTCACAATCACTCCATTAGTAGCCCTACTTCACTATTTTATTTGAAGAGTACTTTGACACCTTGTGATGACTTGCTAAATTCTATGCATACTCTTATTAAAATTGTGTTACTCTCAACTTGAGCACACTAATGCGATTGAGAAAAGATGTGTTTTGATTGTTGTAGGTGTTAATGAAATTAAGGAGACTTTGACTAACTAAATTAAAAGGGAGACCTAACAAGAGTTTGGGAGAATTGAAAGCACAAGCAAGAGTCATGAATTGCCAAAGCCGAGTCTTCCAATGAAAAAGCACCAACAAAATCATCTACTACTGAGCCAATCATGCTTCAACCCTCTATTGAGGAAGCTCCAAAATTAGTGCTCAAACCTATTCCCCCTCATTTGAAATATGCTTATTCGATTGATGAAATTGCCTATCATTATTTCTAGTGCATTGTCAAATGTTAAAGAGTCTTTTATGCTTGATGTTTTAAGGAAAAATGTTAAGGCCATAAGTTGGACATCCGGTGACATTCTTGGTATATCTCCTTCCACATGAACACACAAAATACTATTAGAGCAAGAAGCCAAACCCATCAGCAACCTCAAAGAAAACTTAACCCCTTGATTCTAGATGTGGTGAAAAAGAACGTAACCAAACTTGAGCACAAAAATCATCTATCCTATCATTGGTACCACTAAGCTGAGGCCCTCCCTCTTCTTAAAATTTACCTTTTGGTGTCCATGGTGGGGCGGAGAATGGGACCCTTTCAAGCCTATTTACTCAAGCAAAGGTACGTGGCAGTACATCATCCCTGTTCCTTCCTAATGAATTCTCAAAGGCTTCGCATAATGCAAACTCTTGGAGTTTGATCCCACCACGTCTTCTCTCAATTGTAGTGGGCAACATTGGTACCACTAAGTGGAAAGGTTGTGAGATCAAACTCTAGGAATGTGCGTTACATCAAACCTTTGGGAATTCGATCATTAGGAAGGTAAGGAGATAGTGTATTACCATATACTCCTGCCTGAGTAAATGGGCTTGAAAGGATCCTACTCTACACCCCACTAGGGACACGTTGTGGTAAACTCTCCGAAGAGAAAGGGTGAACATTAAAAAGGCATCTTTTTATGTGCATTGACTATATGAGGCTTAATGATGCCATTGGGAATGACCACTTTCCCTTGCCTTACATTGATCAAATGTTACGAGAGGCTAATTGATTAGTAATTATTAAAAATTCATTAGTAACATTAGGTGGCTTGGTGCTAATCTCTAGAAATTTCTAGGGAATTTTTTTTAACTCAATTGAAGGGCAAAGATTGAATTTTGAGATTGAAGCAAGGATTGCGTGAGCTAAATTCTCCAACCAAGGAAAGCTTCTTACCATTCTTTACACACTTGAATTCATGCTTTATTTTCTTTTAAGCAAATAAAATCAAGAGAGAATTATGTTGAAATTCCATACAAGAAAATTAATTACCACAAAGTCTGTTAACAATTGAATTAAAGCCATTGACAATATAATGACTTTAATTCAATTGTTAATGAACCTTGTGATAATTAATTTCTTCATGTAAAACCTACATGCAATTTTCTCTAAAATCAAAGAAATATTAGTTGTAGTATTTTTAAAGTCTTCCCTAGCTTAAATAAATGATTCTTTCTATTTTATTAGTGTTTTTAGTCATTTAGGCTTTAGAATTCCAACTCTTAGAGACACAACCTTAGTTGACTCTAGACTACTCTAGCATTAACTTTGTTAATTTGAGGCCAACAAGACTCAGGCTTATCAAATGTTTTCCCTCAACTTTTAAAAATGATGCAATATCGCCTTTATCATTAATAAAAATTACCTTTAAATGTTAGTTGGCTAAAAAATTATGGATAAAACAAAAAAAATAAAAAAATAACTAAAATTACAGATATAGAAAAGGACCACCCCAAAAATTTAAAAAAATGACCCAAAAATACATGCAATGGCAAAGAAAATTATAGAAAAGAACCAAGAAAATCTCTTGGTCCTTTTTCTAGAGATTGCTAGGTTAACTAATAGTTTTGTTAACGATAGGAGCAATATTGCACCATTTTCAAAAAATTAAGAGGAATATTTTACCAAAAAAAGAGTTCGGAGTTCTAGATATTTCCTAACCTATAGTTTAGAAGCAAATTTACCATTCAATCTTAATATCAAACTGCTCCCTCCATTCCCTATTATAACACAAATTTAGCCACATCACTGGAACCATAGAGGTGTGTAAATAATATTTCTTATAAGAAAAATAAATAAATGTTAGAGATCAAAAGAGGCCAAGCCAAAGAAGCATATTAGTTAAGAAAAAACTGAGGGCATAGTGGACGTTGAGGGCACAGTGGATGCAGGTGTGGATCCAGAGTCCCTCCCCCACCCCCTCTTTTTCAAGTTCTGCATATTAGCATTTATGGAAATATTTCTTCAAAGCTAAGGATATATTAGTCAAAAAAATTTTGGTCCCCTCCAAAAAAATCCTCAATTCGGAAGGAAGCAATACAAGGAGATGGGAGGGGGGATTTTGGCTCCTCTCCAAAATTTCTTACCAAATGAGGGGAGCATTTTCCCTAACCAACCTTCCAATACTCTCAGACCAAACACACCATAAGTCTCACATTATTAGCTTGAGATTAAAAAAAAAAAGTATTAAATTTGACACCAGAAAATAATAGAAGGGACTAAAAAAGAGGACTCCCGTGCAAGCCAAATATATCAAATCAAAAAAATGTTCATAAAATCGTGACATTCTGCAAAATTTTAGATATATTAATCTATAGATATCATAATAACAAGACTTCCACAATTATACCCATAATTATAATTAAAAAATAATATTAGGAAAAAATAGAGAAAAAAATTCATAAATATAAAACTCAAGACATGACAGAAGGGGATCCCTGTCCGAACAGCTGACTTGATGCCTCTTACTTTTCTCACAGCTAACAACCTAACGGATGAAGTCTTACCAGACACCTGCTCATTATCCCCACCACCATCATCATAACAAACACGATGAACGGATTTGAAAAATCTTTCTTTCTTTCTTTCTTTCTTTATCATTATTTTTTTTTTTTTGGGCCTTTCAAATTAAAATTACACTTTTCTTTGGTTACATAAATAGAGCATGAATTCTGAACCATTACTCATACCCCAATCTCCCATAAACACTTGAGGCAATTCATGAGGCTAATTTGCATGTTTCTATCATAGTCAAAGCACATACATCAAATCATGTGTATAGGGATTAGTGGCCGTCAAAGAGATACCTGGAAGCACAAGCAGTACCCACTGGCAAGTGCAAGATCAATCATTGGCCACCACCAGCACAACACAAGCCTATTAGATCCATCAATGTTGCATATAACAAATCCAGAGATAAGTGGCCCAGGAATTTCCTGTGTTCAGATGCACCATCAGCGATGTCAATGTGAAGCTTTCGCTCCTCTGCAAAACTGTCCTCCATGACCAACCACCATGATATACAGCCATAGATATCCTCTGGATCTACATGCGCAACCAGGCTTAATGTTTCACCCTGAGCCAGCTCAAAAGACAAGCATAAGAAGTCACGATTTGCTTTTATTCCAACCATCAGAGCTTCCTGATAGAGCCAGTTAATAATCTGGCTAGCAACCTGTACATTTCAAATTACTACAAGTTGAAGGCAATGCTATGTGTGGGAGAACTGCAAATAAAATCCTCCACTTTCTAAATTGAAAACGTATAGCAATGACCACACAAAAAGTGAATCCCTGACGAATACCTGCTGCAAAATAATCACAGGAAGATCAGCCAAGTTGCAGTCATATTTGTTCATTGAATGAATTTCCTCAGACTTTCCCTTGAACAAGCCTACAAATTTAGGAGCACCTTCTCCTTCTACATTAATGCAATCATCATTTACAACCACCTTAGTCCAAAAATGAGACTTAACAGCATTTTTCTCGTATGAAATATTAGATGTTTTTGTTTGGCTGCCCATGCGGAGAATAGATTGAGGAACCTTCATTGAAAGTGTCCAGGATGATGTCCGAGAATGCCACGTGGGATTTGTAATCAGTTGGAGATATGGCACCTTGCAAATCTGCAGATTTTAAAGGCTTTAGCAAAAACCAAAACAAACTCTAGTTTGCACAAAGCACAAGTCAGTTAACCAAGCAATACCACATTTTCCAGCTCAGCAAGGACTTTACTTGAAAAGATCCTATGAGACAAAGACATAGAAAAATGACCCAGAAGACCTGATCCATCCTTTGCTGGCACTCCAGAAACCCAGGTACCAGAAGAAATTGGTTTTCCAATACCTTTCCCAAATATATGTTCATGGAAGATCTGTTGAAGATAAATTTCATAGCTCAGAGAACTAGGAAACTGCCACTTTTTCTTCTTATCAATGCTATGTTTGGCATCTTGCAACTTCACCCCATCCAATGAGTCTGAAGGCAGAATTGCTATTCCTACATTATCAGTGACTGCGCCTTCAACTTTATGATCATCTTGACCAGATGGCACTAGGGATAAGAACACAAAGGTTCCTTGACCTAAGCTCAACTGTAAATAATTTTCACGTATTCCAGTCACACTGACTCCAGTTGATGAGTTAAATGCTTCACGATTCACCAGATCAAACACCTGGATGCAGAAATACAGAAGCAATGAGCCATCATACCAATTTCCAAAGTATGGGGAATAAAATACATGGCAAAGCAACAATTGCAACAATAAGTAATAATACAATGATATACCTACCTGCTCATTAAAAATTGCTAGATGTGCTTCACGGAGTAGTGAATGTGACTTCTTCACACAATCTTCATCACTTAAAGACTCTTCACCACTTTTTCCCAAGTGAGACTCACTAGAAAAGTTGAATTTATTTATATTGGATTTTCTCAGGATATCGTCTGATTGCACACCAAGAAAACCAAATTGCAGTGAGTGGCATGAATTTGGAGATGAACTAATTGCCAGCATACCAGCCGCATCATGATCAACACGAACAGTGGACAAAGGAGATAACCGATTTATAGCTCCTGGGTCATATGAGTTGTCAAAGAGATCAAAGGTGAAACCTTCATTTCCTGGAGCAATAGATGCCACACGCTGCCGTTTAATTTTCCAATTTTGCTGCAACCTATCAGCTCATCAGGACATGCGATAACGTTCAGCATAAGCTAGAAAGAAAGCATTCTTGATGCAATGAGTTTGCTTGACTCACTCACAAAACATCTCATGTTTTTGGAGTTATTCAAGAGCCAGTTTATGAAGGCAGTGAAAGAGTATTTAAAATAAAATATAAAACATCTTTTTCAAATTTCTTGCCCAAACTTACAGAAATAAGTGGATTGTAAAAAGTAAGAGAAGAAATTCACCTGATTAGAGCACCATAAAACCTTGCCTCCCTAGCAACCTGCTGTTCAAAAGCTTTCGCAGATTGCTTGAAATATTTACCAACATGCTGTAATGAGAATGATAATTAAACTAAGTTTCACAATCTTATTGCATGCCCAGTAAAGCTAATCTCCTATGATGATAGCAGGCAAGTCCAAATAAGACTTCAATATCAAATATAAAACCCATAGCAAGTTGGCCTATTCACAAACTGTAGTCAATGAGATTCATTCCTCAAATTCTGTGCAATACACAAGGGTCTAACTAGTGACATATATAATTCAACTGGAAATAAACTAGTACTAAAGGACGACAATAGATGGAAAGAATATTTACTCGGTAGCATTGTAGTTTGGTGGCTGCAGAGACAGCAAGATCAGACAAAACTTCATTTGGCAATGGTTTTGGCCTTGTCATGCTCGCCACAGTTACTGCATCATTTGCTTCCACCTAAATACAATGATTTGAACAAAATATCATATTTATCTTAGTCTGCAGCACATAGCTTTAAATACAATAAGCAGAGTTTGAAATTTCTCAAATGAAAAATTTCCAAACCAATTGGAAAAACTTGATTATACATCAAATTCTTTATTAGAATAAACTTGAGGTAGGGGATGGCGTAATGATCTAATTATTGCTAGTTCTCATGGTATTGTATGTTCACATTCACTTACCTACCTCAATTATAGAAATTATTGTACATTCCTCAAATCCATCAAATAGAAAGAACCAAAAGTTTTCTTTTAATACATACTACAAAAGCAACATTCACTTAAAGATCCTTTCAAGGAACCATATAGCTTAGAATGCAATCTCAGATATCCCGTTAACTAATGCAAATATATATCTGGAGAACAGAGATTTTTTCTTTTTCTTTTTCATCAAAATTTCTGCGAAGTTTATAAAGCACCATGTTACTGAAAATTGACATTAAATAAGAAGTATGTAGTACACACAGTGTTGATGAGATCTATAATGACAGAGAGCTCCTGATGAGCTAACTGCAAATTCTCCACCATATTCTGCCATTGCCATGGTGTTGAGGCCTCCTTTGAGGTTCTCTTCTGTTTCTTCTTTTTTCGTCTTTTTCAATAGCCCAAGCAAAGTCAATACGCCTAATTAGTGATAACCGCTTCTCATCGTAATCCAAATCTCTGCATAACAAACGAAATTTAGCAAGGACTCACTGGAACCAAAAAGAAAAAAGAAAAAGAAAAAGCTAAAAAAAAAACAGAGACAAAAAGTTGTTAGGGTCATTGTTCACTAGTTATCTATCTCCGTTTTGGAAATCACATTACAATCGTCACATCTATAAATAAGCTATGTCAATATGCAGTTACTGCAATCAAATACTAATAACAGTCACAACAACTCAATGAGTAGAAACTATCCCATGTAAGAATATTACTTGCAGTGAATCTACAGAATAGGAATGTCGATAGCATCACGGGAAGATGCAGAATTCATCAGTTTTTTCAGGTACAAGATAAAATTGATGGTTAACGAAGCATGATTCTCCTATTGGACTCCATTTATAACTAGGGCAAGTACCAATGGAGTTTCCCACATTTCTTTAGAAGATTAAACGAAATGTAAGAGAAGGAAAAACAAGTAAAAAAGAAACATACGAAGGGAATCGTTCGACTCCATTCTCTTCAATGACATCCAAGCGCTTGATGGGAAGCTTATCGAGGGAGACCTGTATATTTTCCTCCATTTTCTCTGAGTTTTGAATGATTTTCCTGGAAAATTTTAAGAACCCTATTACCAAGCTGGGAGGAAAGTTTCAGAAGGAGCGAGAAAGTGGGTCAATTGCCAAAATTACAATTCAAAGTCAAATTCACATTCAGGTCGGAAGGTCAGGAAAAGTTTTGTTTTTCGCCCAAAAACAACCTCTTAATCGTTTGGTTATTAGTAGGGGCATCTAACTTGAAGCAGTCATATCAGTCATATTGTCTTGATCATATTAAAATAAGTCTTGTTCCAATCTAAAAATAATCAAGACAAGATTTTATGGGGATAAAACAGGAAAGAATTTAGGACGAGATATGGAATTACTATCGAGACGTCCTATCCCGTCTCAAGTATTATATATATATTATTTTTTACTTCAAATATATTAATTATATTAATATAATTTATATTTATATTAATTATATCAATTATAATTTTAATATTTGTAATTCTTATTTAAAACTAAAATTTTTTATATTAATAATTTTAATGACATTGAGTAAACATGGTAATATCTTTCTTTATAATATATTAATTATATTAATATAATTTACTTCTTATATCTATCTATTTAATAACTTTTATTTATAATATATTTATTGCTTATTTTTAAAAAAATAATTAGCTTAATACATTTTCACTAAAGTAGAAGAACAATAATTTGATATTGTGTTTAACTTGCCTATTGTCACTACTCTTATAGCCTAAAGATCACTTATATTTGCTATTACAATATGTAGTTGCGATTAATGTAATTTAATAATTGACTTTAAATTGTTGTGATTTATGTACTTGTTTTGTTTTGATTTTAAACTTAATAAATTATATGATTTAAAAGTTTAATGAACATTATTATTTAGATCTTTCTCTTATATTATTTAATTTATTGGGACAACGGGACATCCTGATCTTATTTCGATCCCATCCCAACTCTAACGAGACGGGATGACTTTTAGGACGGGACGCAACATGAGACCAAAATTCATATCGATCTTTTTTTAAGGACGGGACACGGGACCCATGAACATGCCTAGTTATTAGAAAGAATTATGTTGAAATTTCATATAAAAAAATAATTATTATAAAATTAATAATAATTGAACTAAAATAATTGTGGTAATTAATTTCTTTTTTTATGGAACTTATAAATAATTTTTCCATTAATTATTACGCAAAACACTAACATTCTTTAAGTAAACAAAGGTACCACAGTACCATGAGCTTGTTTTAATAACTATAACTTTCTTCATCTGTCTAAACTTATCTAAAGTTAGTTAACATTAAAGGTTAAAACAAAAAACAAAAAGAAGAAAATAAAAGGTATAAAAGTACTCATGAACTTTTTTTTTTTTCAAAAAATTTTAACATTCTTAAATCAACAATAATACATGACTATCCATTAACTTTATAAAACAGCTCAACATTCTTTAATCTATTAACAATCAAACATCAAGTTATTTTAATTAATTGGGAGAGATTAAAGCTGATAATTTAAACCAAGTCTAACAAATTAGCCTGTAAAAGTCTGAAAAATCTTAGAATTACATTTGAGAGTTTAGACAATTTTCTTTATTTTGTACTTATTCAAATCACCCAAATAAATTGAAGAAATCGGCCAAGCTCAACCCGATCTTAGCCAAAATACTTGAATTCTTTTTTATTATTAATAACATAAAATTAGAATTAAATAAAAATTGAAAATCTTAATTTTTAAGATAAAAATTAAAATTGATTAAAAATAATATAATATAATATTCAATAATTTGGATATTTTGGCTAGCCTGAAAGCCCAACGAGTTAAGGCCGAGCTTTTCTATATAGCCTATTTTATAAATTTAATAGATACCTATACATCATTATTAACTTAAGGACACCAAAAGCTCTTGGAAAAAAAAAGTTTAGGGAGAATTATATTGAAATCCCATATAAAGAAATTAATTACTTCAAGATTCATTGACAATTAAACTAAACTACATTGACAATTGGTTGTATTATCAATACAGTTTAGTGCAATTATCAATGAATCTTGTAATAATTAACTTCCTTGTATGGGACCTAGTTGTAATTCTTCTAAAAATTTATGAGTATTTTTTGCACCTTATATTTGCTTCTTCTTTTTTTTTAATCAAGATAGAAAAGGTTGCACTCATTAAAACAGAAGTTAAAGGACAAATTTGCCCAAGAAATTTTCTACCTAATACAACTGGTATTTTTAACTTTCAATTGGTGCAATCCCACCTTAGAAGTTTAAAAAATGGTACAATGTCATCTTGCATTAATATTAACCTTTATTTTGAAGTGTTAAAGGGTAATTATGCCCCAAAAATTTGTCTGAAAGAGTAATTGATATCCTAAACTTTTGATTTGTACAATGTTTTTGGGTTATTAACTTTCAAATCAAAAGAAGGATCTAACACAACTTGTAATAGCCTGAAATTAAAAGGATATTTTAGATTGAATTATATTAAAGGCATCTAAGTCATCTAGGGTAGTTTATTTTGTCCATAGGCAAGTACAAACAAGTCTATATTTAAGTCTATGCAAGTTGAGAAATAGTCATGGGCATAAAAAAGGCTAGTATAGACTTCAAGATAAAGTCTGTAGAGTGCTCAACATAGAGTTGATTTTGCTTCATAAAAATATCAAGTAAGACCTTTTGAATATTGATAATCCAAAAACATTATGCTAATATTAAGTTTAAGGGCTAACGTTTATTTTTACCCTTGAACCTTTTTCAATGAGTGTTGGGCACCCTATATTAATAAGTGGGAGAAAATTAATGATCAAATTAACAGATATTTAAAATTGAAGTGTCACTTGCTCTACCTTGCAACTAGACAAAAAATATATTAATTATAGTATCTCTAGAGCAATTCATACTCATCGAGATGAATGAATTATTAACTTTAGAGGTTCATTCCCTCTATTTTGATACAAACAAAGTTGCAAACTTTTTAAATATTGCATCCTACGTTTTCAATTTGGAAATTTTTGGTGTTTTTAAGGGTATTTTAGTCAAATTAAGTGGATTTTAATATTTTAAGGAGTGTCACACCTAGAAAATGCGACGCAGATAGCGTGCGAGTGGAGGTTCCAGCCTTCGAAAAGAAGACCAAAGAAATGAGAGTCGCCACCAAAATTTTGAGGAAAATCTTGGAAAACCGTTTAAAGATGGATAAGGATGGTCTGCGAAAATAGAAACTAGGTTCGGGAGTTAATTGAGTGTGGAAAAAGTGTTAGGTACCCTATATCACCCGTTCGTCAGAACAGTTACCTGAAGTTTATTGTGCTCTATCAATATAATTTTATAATTATTTTAACTATCTCCTTTTATATTCATGTGTTTTAAAAAAATGATAAAGAATTAAGTGAGAAATATTTATTTATTTATTTATTTATGAATGAGGACTTGACTCAGAATCTGACTCTGAGGCCTATGTATCCTATAATGGGGATCAAAGTTCATGTAGTTCGGACTTAGAATATTGTTGGTGAAAATATTTTTTGAAGAGAAATTAATTAGAAATAATTCACCATTTTGCAAATAAAATAATTTTTGAAATTTTGATGTGTATGTTTTAAATTACAAAAAGTGATTTAATTTTAACTATTCTCTCAATTTTTTTAAATTTTGGAATAAAGAAAAGAAAAGAGTTTAAAAATTATTTTTATTTTTATTTTATATTTTATGATGGGAATTTAATCGCAATACCTACAAAGTCTTATTGGCTCTTACGACAATACAATTATTCTATATATTTGCAGAGATTTTAAAATTTCACACGATAAAAGAATTTAGCAACTTAATTAATTTATTTATATTCTTATGTATATTTTTAAGTATTAATAATAATTTTTTAAGCATGAATGTACATATATGCTTTTTTTTTAAAAAGACTCTTAATCATCATACCTGCAAAGCCTTATTGACTTTTACGATAATACGATTATCCTAAATATTTGTGGAGATTCAAAATCCTCACACAATAAAGGATTAAATAATATATATTTTAAAGATATTTTAATGCATAATTGTATAATTTATATTTTTAAACATAGAAATCTTAATTGCTATACCTGCAGAGTCTTATTTACTTTCACGATAAGATGATTATTCTAAAGGTCTATAGATATTCAAAAATCTCACATGACCAAAAGATTTTATTGATTTATATAAAAAAATTAATTTTAATGATGGAATTTTGGAACCCATATTAATATATATAAAATTGATCCTCAAACTAGTGAAATCTTATTGATCTTCACGATATAGTTACATTTTAATTGTCTATGCAGATTCTTAAAATCTTACACGACAAATAAATCAAAGGCCAAAGAGATTAATATTATGATCAAACCATGCCAAAACAATCAGCGTGAAATTAACAAGTTTTCATGATTAATAAGCAAGCACAATGATAAATTTTCAAATACCAAAAAACTAGTAATTCAATTAAACCCTATTCTTTGATCACTAAGGGGTATAGGATCATATCTAGTCTCCTATATAGTTGGATAGGAATCCATGAAAAATTGGAATAAAAATGTGATTCAAACTCATAACCTTTAGCCGATGCTTTAAAACTTAAGGACATGCTCTTATATTTCCTAATATATCATCAAACATCTAAATTTGGATAGTTCTCATAATGCAAGTAGTAAGATCATGAAATCACAATTTTGAAGAACTAAATTGTTAATCCATCTTTAGGCATTTAAATGGATTTAAACATGTATTAATCACTAAGTCAGAACAAACACTCACTCAATACATGCCCATGTTAAAAAAACATTAAACCAAAATTTACCTATTCTTTCCACAACATATATGCACACAAAATTTATCACAGCTATAATCGCATTAGCCATTATTCAAGAAAAATATTTTAACCAAACTTGTGTTAATGGCTTGGATGTCTAATCTCCCTCAAATCTTCAGTCTCTTTCTCTTCTTTTTTTTCTCCAAAGCTCTCAGCCATCCCTCTCATGCTTCTTCTCTGAGTCCTTGGCCATTTTTCTTGTCTCCAAGCTCTTCTCTCGGTTTCACTCTTCTTTTTTTTCCTCCTCCTTGCTGCGTCTGTTCTTGTCCAGCTTCCCTCTATCGGTCTCTGTTCTTTTTTCACTTTGTTT